CGTTGTTCCTTTTACATATTAATATTTAACAGAGTATAAAGTAGTAACATAAAAAATACTTGTATACCTCCTCACAATATGCAATACAATTTATAAATTTTACCATTCAATTTCATTGTTTAACAAAAATTTGTAACATAATTGTTCTTCACAAAACATTTGATTTTCTTTATAACACTTTATAACACTAGACTTTCATTAATATATTGTATTATTGGACTGTATATATACATATATATAACGCAGTATCAGAATATTAATTTGCAATTCAAAAAGCAAAACATTTTATTTTTAGATAATTCAAGTACAATAAGAGTAATTGTATCATTGCATACGTGTATTCTTCCAGTTCAAGAATGTGATAAATGAAACATATGGTGCTGTTTAAAAATATAAAATGATCTTCGGTTTTTATAAATAAATATATTTTTTATGTAATTCAACTGTCGTGGCTTTTAGTTCACTTAATTTCCCTGAATATTGCCAATTATTGCCATCAGATTGCAGATCCTTATGCAGAATAAAAAATGTTTATACCAATAGCAAGTAACAGAAATCAAATAGTAATTTTTTGTTACCTTTAAATGCCGCCTAAGCATTTCTCTCGTAATGGTATGAAAGCCGCAATCTAATAATAATGAAACAGTGTTCACAGCAAAAATAACAAGACACTTTTGTTAGAGCGACGCGATGTCGAATGCGAACTACGGCGAAGATCCGTCGAAGAAAGAGAGAAGTAATTCTCTGGGCAGAATGTTGAAACTCGTGGATAAAGATGGTTCACCGAAAAAACTGTTCCACCCACGTGCTGGATCCTTGAGCCGTATTTTGCGTCGACATTCCCATAATGAGAATAATGACGAGAAAAAGGATGTAGATGACAACGCGCCTGGCATTTTCTCAAGAATGTTGAATCAATTAAGAGGAAAGTAACATCTATCGAAATTCCATTTTATTCCAACGAAAATATTTGTCATTCTGAATTCATTGTTGCTATGTGAATTTAATAGATTCAGATAATTTAGTATAAAACAATTATTTTAGGTTTAATAGATAGACGAATAAACATATTGGTTTAACGGACATATCTCGAAATATTGCCACTTTTTGAACAAATTTTGTTTGCCTAGAATACAAATTTTTTCTATTACTTAAAAGTATGATAATTGCTCTGTTGTAGTACATTTCATACTTATTAATTATTATAATTATTATTATAATAATAATTATAATTATAATCTATCAAATTTACCATGCTTAGGTCGCCCGCACAGTGGATCCTCGGTGAAAGGGAATATCGCAACCGGACGTAAAATGAGCTCGTTACCTCCCAAAATCCCGATGAATGCAAAACCATCTAATTTCCCATCAAAAACAGCCGTTTCAACGCAAATGATGCAAACGCCGGAATCGCTTCGGAAATCAATTAATTTGGAATATTCTGTTTGAGGTGTAACAAACTATTATTTTTCAATGTGATATAACTTGTGTCCTGCAACTTTCGCGTTCAAATCATATTCGCAATTTTATGTTAGTACAGAAATATTTGGTTTCCATTGCAGATGTGGGACATATGATATTCGGAAGCAATTTGTATGATGTATATCAATTTGAGAAATAATCAATAAATATTCATTACTTTTATTGTTGTAGAATTTGTAATAGTTTATATGCAATACATGCTTATACCATAGAATAATATGTTGCGTAAGAATCATTTCTGTCTACAGCCTTCACTTTGCAAGATTTTTAAGAAAATGTCATTTTCGCCCACCTTGGTCGCTTATTGTTTTTCTTGTGCGTTTAAAACAGTTTTCATAGCACTTTTTACATTCCGATGTAGGTACTAGACCTACTCGGTAGGTCGTATAACAGTAGATAAGGTTAGATAAGTTCTGAGAAAATTCCATATTGGTGAGAAACTGTGTTATATGGCCTAGAGCCAGTTCGGTTCATTATTGAGTTGTTTGGGCAGATGTGTGAGTGCTCGCATTGTCATGGTGAAGCATTCGTCACCATCATTATCCTGCTTCGCTGGTTGCTTTTTCTTATTTCTCGGTTAAATGTTCAGAAGAATCTCCTCCTCACTGCTTTAGATGAAATTCTGAATATTTGTGTCTTTAATAAGTTCGAGAACTCAAATTCCAATTACATATGGACTACAAGATATTTCAATATGATGAAAACTCCCCGACATTGAGGTACAAATGTGATCCGCTTAGCATGAAAGTTCACAATACCGTTACCTACTAACAAGTAGGGATAATCAATTCCCAAAAATCGATTCTTATAAAACATCGATACATTAGAATCGATTATATCTGAAAAGAATCGACGAAGAAAAATTGTAAACAAAAACAATCAAGAATAGTATCACTTAAACGTAGGACTATGAAACATGCATGTAAGATAAAAAGTTCTAGTGAAATTATTTATTTTCAGCAATTTTCACCTTGATCTTTTAATTTCCACTGTTCCTCTTGTCGCGTGGTTGTTGACTACAAAAAATGCTATAAACAGCCAGATGCAGGAAAAACGGCGTTGAAAATCGAGGAGTGTGGGATAATAGGTGAGAAAACATGAAGGAACAAACAACGATTCGATTCTTCGTTGGAACAGAATAGAGGTACCGGGAATCGACACTCAAAATAATCGGTAAAATAATCGATTCCGTAAAAAAAAGAATCGGTCGATTCTTTCAGAATCGAGTAGAATCGCCCATCCCTACAAACAAGTGAGTGATGGGTTCTTCAGGACGTGAGGAGTGACGTTATTGTAATTTTGAACTACAATGGCGACGCGTCACACGGCTGCAGTTGATTTTACAAGGATCACCCGGTAAATGCGTAGTCGTGCCTAGTTACATATATTGTATGCCTACACTGATCAAGGACCAGAACTTTCAGCATCCTGACTGCTTTACGATTTTCCTCCAGAAAAGTAGGAGGAGGAGAATTGTTCATTGGATTCGTCCAATTCTATTTGTGTGGTCTCTTCCGCCACTTGGAGCAGATTCCAAGCAGAATCCCTGACACCATTGGATACACACCAAGGATTGGATACACTGGCCTTGAGTGGAAATTCTAAGGACAGTCAAGAACCTGAGAGCTCTGGTCCAGCCCAACAAAATATAATCGGCACCCAACGTGCCAGAATCAGAGTTCGACGAATTTCATCCGATTGACATATAACGAATGTAGATAAACATTTTATTTACTGTATGCGAATAACAAATTACGGGCTCATTCAAACCAATTTTGCTGTTGTTAGAAGATAAGTTAATAATATAAAGTGACGTTCCGAAGAAAATCGATGGTGTTACAAACCATGGTGTCGGCGGATTCAAACTCTTTCTCATGCAGAATGGTACCGCGCTTTGGACTTCCTACGGATGGCACAAAATATGCAGAAATTGGATTGGTATAATTTAAACGATCGTACTTCAACGCTTCAAATGTTGAACAGAATTTCTGTTTGTACTTCATCCACTCAAGAAATGCGATTTTTCGATGACGCAGGCTACATTTGCGCGATAGTGAAAGACTGGCTTCATATAATGTACCAATTGCGAACATCTCTAAGATATGGAGGAACGAATCAAGTTTATGGGATTTTCGAAAATACCATTACTGCGCATCAAGCTTTCAATGACGCGACATTACAAATCATCAATAACATTGTACGCAGACAAGGAGTTTTCGATAGAAAAGAATTTGAATCGTCCAGAGCTGCTAGGTGGTTCTTAACTTAAGCTTACATATATTCTCCCATAAATATATTTATATTTCAAGCTAGATATATACAGTGCAGAGCATTATATAATAGTAAAATATCGAAATGTTAGATATTGAAGCGACTAAACCGTTTGTGTGCATTACTGGTGTTAGTATGATGTATGAATGATCTTTTAATTCTAGTAGAACACTGATTCAAATATATAAAATAATTTCTTCTGAGAAAGTTCCATTGATAGAGTAACATCACACGATGCGGACACAGACTCATGTGTCAAATTGATAGAACGACTTACATTATTCACTGAGTACTGTTAAAACGATACACTTTTTTTTCTTTTCAAGAACCTCCTTTTCAATGGTAACAAGGCAAGCTTGTTTAATGGGTCTTCGATGGGTTCCGCTTCTGCTAATGAGTTTTGTCTGTCTTGTTTTGACTTTATTGTATATGGTACACAAGTTTCTATATCTATATTTGGAACCTTGATAAATTTGATGGTTTTCGGGGCTTGTTTTTCTGGCGTAAATTCTCCATTAGGTCCTTTACTCAATGAGATGTCTTCGCAGTTCTCAGTATTGTCAAATTTGTTTGCGTGTCGTTGAAAGGCAATGTCGGCAGCTTGCAGAGTGTTCTTAGCTTTCTCAATCTCAGCGTTTAAGTCAATAACATCAAATATGCGATCCTGAAAAATGGCGTTTTGTAGTAATGCAAATAGAAAATTATCAGAGATTTGGTTTCTCTGGAATGTTTGGCAATATATATTTGTATGTTTGTGGAATGAATCACAGTTCTTTTATTTTTATTGTATTCAATTTTTGTAGTAGACATATTGATTTTGTCTTCTCAATAAAATTTCTCTTTAAGTAAAAGAAAATTTAATGAATGAAGAGAAAACGAAGAAGAAATGCTTTGTTCAAACTTTTTAATTAATATTCTTTTCTAATTAGAAATGTGTTTGCAATTAGTATAAAAAATTAGTATAAAGATAAATGACTGTTATTAAGCAATAAGAACCTATTTTTATGGAAATTGCTTTCCTTAAAAATGTCTTCTGTAATTACGATTACTACTACGATTACTACTCCAAGAATATTTTTAAATTTTATACTTTTATGTTTTTTTAAATTCGATTTTTATAACTCGGTATTAAAGCTTTTTTAATATAATAAATAGATTATTAATTTATAACAAGTATCTGCTGAATTCTGAAGAAACATTTTGCTTTCCGATTGAGTGCGAAATTAGTTTAAGTATCCTTTTTTTCTCAATCCATCAAAGTTCTAATTTGTCTATAAAAAAAGTTAATACTTTTGGATTCGCTAAACGAGAGTAATGAACATAAACGGCTCTGCCGGGTGAACATTATAATTTTGAACTATGATCTGACATGGGCTTTATGTCGCGTCCAGATCTTAGTTCAGAATTATTATCAAAATTGACATGTAACCTGCATGTCTCTTCGTTTGCGTCTCAAGTCAGCCAAATCATCAGCGAAAGCGGCGGCGGCACGTTCTTTGTAACGCCGTTGAGAAACTACAAAATCATTCTCAAAGTCATCATCGTATCCTCGATCGTACATGTAGTCCATGCCATCGTAAAAGCAGTTACGATTTCCTGCTAGATCACGGGAACCTAAAATGAAGAATAAGATCAGTTATAGGAACTGTTAATCACAAAATGACATGTGTTAGACTTGAGTTAATTGTAAGTATAAAAGTCACTTAAATGTATTTAGAAACTTGTTCTTGAACAAAATTGAACATTGTTACGCGATAATTCAAGTAATTATTATTGGTGTCAGATTCGTTGTAACAATAAATACGTTTTAATAAATGGCATGTACTCGAAAGTATTGGATCATTTATTATTCTTTCATTTTATGATGAAAAATGGGATTTGATCATATTGGCCATTTCTTATCTTTCTTTTTGTCTATATTATTCTGTTTTGGTAATTTCACGGACAGATTGAAATCTCTCTATTTCAATATGTAAAAATATTATCACAATTTTTAAACTAGTTTACGATCATTACTAATGTGAAGGATTATTCGAAAATTTCCTAAATCAGTAATATTGATTTCGTATCCCTTCATTGTGAACAATAACATTTCATTGTAACGCCAATAAAAACTAATATACACAAATACAAAACAGTCGTTGTGTTGTGTAATATTTATAATTTAAACATACACGCTTTTGTAAGTTGCAAACTCACTAGAATATCGAATTAACATTAATAATTTTTGATATGCGAACTTGAATTACTCTCCTGTTTCATTCTTTTGTTTCCACAACTAGTTGCTATTTTAATGTGCACAATTCTATTTAACTAATTTTCTTAGATAAATTTTACCCTTATTATTACCTATGACAGTCAATAGTGATGTAAAATACACATGCAGCCTGTGACAGATTATCCTAATCATATTCGCTAAAAGAATGTATAATCAGAAACTTTTCATTCTTTAATGCTTTACTTTCGCTGCTGCCAATTTTTATGAACATTGATCTTGACACTTAGTTACAAATAAATAAATAAACGATTCATTGTTAAAAGATGAAGTATTATCGAATTCAAATTTCGTAAAACCTAAAGGAAAATATTTAGTAGCAGGGTATTTCATGAAATAAAAGAATATTTTAACATTTCAATTAATTAAAGCGTAACTTAATCTCTTTCACTGTATAGACATAGAATCGACGATAGTTAATCTGAGAAGAGAATTTAGCCAACACAAAACATTGGACATGAAACCTAACAATGTATGCAAGGAATGTGTTTTTCAAAAAATTATTTCTAATGATGAGACGCAACTTTTCGTTTCTCCATTTCTTTTATAATCGCACGAAATAAACTAATACTTTAAATACATTGCATAGCAAAATGTTGGTAACCACTGTAATACAAATAACGTTTTTCTTCATTTTGTAAATATTCTTCCATAAAGCACGATTGTAGAGAATTAATCGAAATATAAATATATTTTCTGCTAAATAAATCATCCAAAACTTTTGATTAGTGTTACAATATATCAATAATTACAAAAATGTATTATATCGAAACCATAAAACAGGGAAAAGAAAGTCGAAAAAATGGCGTTGCATACAAGCAGAACATTATCTTGCATAAAACTTTCTTGCACATGCACGATATGTTTCGCAAACGTTGTATTTGACAATAGGACAAAGTGTTTTAATTAATTAGTTGTGAAAGTATGATGTATACTTAAGCTATATTGAAAGCGAAATCGTTTAGTCGTTGAGTAGAGTGAAATAGAGATACATACAATGTCAGGAAAACCATCGCTGACCACGAATCCAGTCGATAAAAGGAATACATAGTGGATATAGAGTAATTGTCTATGTAACTTTAATGTAATTAGTATATATATGTATACATATTTATTTGACACATAATCACTGAAAAAAGTATGTATATATGGACTTAACGATGTATTAAATGGAATTTACATTTTGTATCTTTTATAGATTAGGAACTGTTTGCAGAACTATGTAAATACAAAACATATACATCCGTTTTACATCCGTAAAACTGTCGAATTTTGTGTTTTTCTGATCTGGTACTCTAGTTTCATATGTGTACAAATTGTCTACGAACGTCGCGGAGGACTATAGTTTGAATAAAACGAAGCAGATCCTTCAATTCTGCTCGAAACATATTACGTTGTGAGAAGAGACTCCTAATTAAGTCATACGTCTACGGCGATTAAACGCAACGACCATCCTGAATAATAAATATGCAATTAATTAAATATTTATATTTGTTTCTGTTTTAATAATACTCATATTTTAATAGCGCACAGTGTATGTATACGACTAGGAATTGTATTCAAGCTCTTCTGGGTATAAAATGAGCAACAATCGTGTGAAATCAGATTTTTGTATCACATTACTGATGTATTTCCGTTACATGAAACAATCTTATACAAATATTTGTGTCATCATGCTCACATCCTAACTATTTGCTTCTGACAACAGATATCGATTGTTGATGATAAAAAATTCAATGATCGGATATTGATATTATATAATGTAGAAATATTGAATCATCACTTAAATAACATGAACTTCTCGAAACATCAAGATAAGTCGAATGAAATCTCGGATTTTTATGGATCATCGTTTATAAACGTGCAAGCTAGATACAATACCGGACAGAAAATACCGATTTGTTGATTCTGTTGAATATTATTGTTACTTTACACAAACCAGATACTACTGAAACCATTACTTCGACACTAACCCCAGTGGAAGTTGCATCAATGAATTTCGAAACTTTGAATTACTGATTTTTCATATCTTTAATATTTTTACTTCGAATGATTGATATCAGTAACGAAGGTTGGGTTGCATCAAGTCCTAGAAATTCTTTTACGTGTTTTATCATAATAACGAACCAAAGTTAACTCTTCCGGTAAATTTCATAAATCCAAATATTATTTGGACATGACACTGCCGTCATAGCTTATGCTTCCATCACAGTGGACAACTATCAATAAGAATCGCTGACAACACTCATATATTTATCAAAGCTGTGACTAGATATTTCTATCAAAATGTGAAATACCGGTACTATGCCGGTGTTACACCTGTATTTTTCGGTTGTACCTTCAAAACGCTTATAGAAATCTAAATCCGATAATACCGGTATATCGTCACATCGCTATTGTAAATACCTGTATAGAAATTGGTTTCCTTACTTCATTATAATATCGAAAGTATTTTTAGCCATAGATTTAGTACTAACATACTTTTATGATCGACGTGTTACATTATCAAATACCGAAACTAATGTGCAATACCAGAATTGCTATGAAACCGAAGTAAAAATAATTAACAGCACGTTTATGGTAATATACTGTACGATGGTCATATACTAATATACCAATTGGTAATACTATTATTATGGTAATATATTAATACGATATTACAATTTATGATAATTGTTATATCGTATACGTATAACATTGTCGATCGGTATCTCTGCGGCTGCTAAACCTCGACAAGAACAAACGTTGCATATACCACCATCCTCCTAGTCTGAAATGCCAGATTGCTTATTCTCGCGTTCGCTCGTTCTTGTTAGTATTTGTTTTTGTAGCCTACATGTACAGACGTATCTAGAAATTTTGTTTCCTGCAAAACACTCTCTCGTGTGTTTATGAAGGGACTCGTGAACCTGTATGTGACAAACTTTCTACCGCGAAGGTACCGAGACAATTATCTTCAGTCCCTGGCTGTGACATAAGCGTAAGTTTCGATGCATGTTTGATTCATTGGAGCTTTTGATTGAAGGCACACAACCTTCATTACTCACCTTCTCCGTGATGCAGTGTAACTTCCACGAACAGATTCAAAGAGGTTTCCATGAAGTATCAATAACATTAGCAAAGTATTTGTCAAGCATTGCGAGGATGTTTAAAAGGCGACGTGTTTTTCCGAACGTTCGCGAATTGCGACCTTCTTACTAAGGATAGAAGATTGCTGCTGAAGACTTTCGTTTTCGGCGGCGGTTTCGTTGATCATTGCCCTAAGCGCTGCGGCTCTGCGCTCTCTTTTCGCTTGTCTCTCCGAAAGCTCCTCCATCTCGGACTCCAAATCGTTCAGGCGAGCCTTGGTGATTTTGGCTCTGGTCGCAGCTGCGCTGGCCAGCGTGTCGTCCTCGTTGCTCAACTTCGACCACTTCAGCAGTGCTGGCTTAGTCTCGACCGCGAGATCGACATCCTCGAGAATCTTGGAACGCCTTTTGAAGTTAGCCTCCGCGTCTTCGATCGCCGATTTCATCTCTGACTTCAGGTCTCTCTTTGCGAACATGCCGTTGTCCAGGATGTCCTGGTCCTGGCGCAAACGTCGCAACGGTTTTCCCAGCGCGGATTCCACTTCTTCGTCGAGGCCGATTGTAGCTAATTTCGCTTTGAGATGTTGTGTGGTCGCGGTTACGTCGTTGACGAAATTTTCAGCAAGTCGACGCCGACTGCGTTGCCCACGGCTGTCGTAGACGATCTCCTCATTCTCAGGGAACAGGGGGTCGCTGGAGGAGAGCGGTAACTGTGGATTACGGATCAGAGGGTCTATCTCGAGGTCAAGGTCACGGCTGAAGGGATTGGACCGAGGACCAGAGAGGTCACGCGAGCCTGTAAAAACCGACACCTCAAGATGTTTACAATGTTAAACGATTGCGTTTGGGCTCTAAATGATACGTAAAAATTCTTATCTGTGGGAGTAGCAGTGATGTAAGCTTTCTTTCGCACCAATCTTGCATTCGAATGATAAATGGGCTATAGTAATATTACATATTACTATATAATTCACTGCACAATCTTAAAGGCACTTGTACGTAAAATTTGAATTTGTTAAAAAATTTTTATTTGTAGTTATTAATTGATTGAAATTGAAATTTTTTAACAAACGCACTATTTTAAATCGACTTTATACTGTTATGTAACGGTTTGCTTATGATATTTATCATGCGTGAACTTTTACGTGTCTCTGCCAAATTCGGGTTTGTAGAACTAAAATATGTAAATCCGATGAATTCGGTGCGTAAAGAATTCGAAATTGATTGTGTTTTGACTATTATCTGTTTGTTTGTTACTGTGACGAAATTTTGTTTATTTTTTATCACTTATTTCTTACATCAGTATCGTTTTGTTGTTTGAAATTCTCGTTAAGCAAAATATAATTAATTCTTGATTGATTGATGTCTCAAAGTAGTATGTTGATCCTACTGGAATGATTTTTCGGTAGTCAACGTCACTCCTATAAATGATATTTCAGAATGATTCTTCTTCACAGCGACTACTTTCTTTACTCACAACGAAGCTCTGATGATAGTAGTACATTGTGCAACCTAAATATGATAAAATGCTTATTTGTGAACAACAAAATTTCTACCATAATCATTATACGGCTTGACTTTGTTCACTTCGATTCTTAATGCAGTTTTCATAAAAAGAGATCGTTTCATCTATGCAATGCCTGATGGATATTTCTCACAACTTTTGCGCATCATAATTTGTATTACATAAATGCTTCCTATTTAAGAAAAAACTTATATATATTCCACTGATGACTTATTCAATCTTTGCTTTCAATATTTATATCAAATAGTGAGCAGGACATGATCTGAATGATCTAAAATTTATTATTAAGATGCTGTTAAAATTGAAATGATGTATTACTGACTGTTTTGGATGGTACTTATAGGTTAGGCATAATTTCAAGAAGATAAAGCGAACGTTGTAAAATATGAGATAAATAAAATTTTGCTATTTTTATCCATTAAAATAATAATTTTAATATTCCAAATTACGCTTAAAGAAGTAAAATGAATGAATCTGCATGATTTAATAATTTACATGAATATAACCAGAAGCATATGTATAACCCTATTTATGACTTGTTACTGTTCAGTTCTATTGTGCTTGTTACACCGTTGATTATTTTGGCTGCTGCTTCTTTCATAATAACTTCTTATATTGAGGAAACTAACATTAATACATACTATCCTATTTGAGATATAATACTCGTATATCGTCCTATCGCGGATCGTACTCGTTCTATCTATTTGTCCTAATAAATTTTGATCAGCAGATATGTAAATAGATTTTTGAAACAATAACAACAATAACTCCTTCCTGATTAAAAGCATTAGAGCGTATGGACTGTAAAAGTATAAACTGTTTTCTCAAATCTTCAAACAAAGCTCTTTGGGTGTAATGAATAAATAAAATTCGTACTTCATATAAATAGGTCAATATAACGCATAAAAGTTAAACAAGAAAATTTATAATTTAGTCAATAGTGTCTGGATAACGTAACTGATAATTTGGCAAATTTGAATGTATTCTTTTTAGTTATGTTCCTATTATTTGATCTTTTTCTTATTCTGTTACTTCTTTATTAGATAACTTATACCAGTGATTGCGATAAAATTGATAAATATCGTAACAGCGCATATGCAGCTGTTAACAAGCTAAACACGATACATGGTCGATCACTCATTTTGATGCTCTATAAAGAATATGGAATTTGAACGAACTTAAGAAAAAGACAAGAATCGCTGGAAAGTTTTTTTACATACGAGTGCCCTTAATATATTAATAGACAGACTATTCAAAGTTCGAACGACTAAGTACAAAATAGCCAAACACATACTTATGTATGCATTCCATACAATAAATTGTCACAATAAGAATTTGGCTGACAGGGGTAGAGATAATAATGCGGTAATGAATCAGATGACGTGAATAATGAATGACGGGTCTACACCACACAAACGTTATCATATTTGTCACGGGATACAATAAATTATTAGACGGTTCTGTTTCATGTTGCGGTTTTATTTTTGTCTCGTTACGTATTTTGAAGTTTTTTGTATGACGGTTGTTTGCGGTAATAAAAGTTTTTCTGCTGGCTGTGTGACAGTAGATTCAAGAAACAATACATTCAATTCCTTTCACATCACGATCTGGATCGAACATGCCACTCACGAGATGTCAAAGAAGTCGAAAATACTTCAGTGTCCTCGGATTTTCGAAAGTTACTCAACTACGTTTAGTTTGAAAAGGGGGAATAGATGGGATAAAGACGTTCACCGCTTAAAACCATTTTGGAAAACGACTGAAGATGTTACCGATGTCGTTTCGGCTGGCCGCGATCTCGTCGGCTAACGAAGTTCTGGGTTCAGGGAAGAGTGGACGTCCGCTGTACTTCCGGTCTAGGTGATCAACCATCGGTTTATAATACGATTCTCCTTTATCGTAGTTGCAACCGTAGACTCGCGTACGCGGCCTGCTGAGAATTGGTCTTGCCATCTTGACAAAAGTGCTTGACTGCCACCTGAAACGGCAATAATTCGTCGGAAATATTATGAAGCTGCCTAATCCTAAGCTGGCTCGAGAATATCGATCTCAAAAATGTTATCCCAAAAAATTACTTCGTAACAAAACGTTGTTACCTTCGGTCAGAACTAGAGAATATATAGTATGTCCAAAAAATGTCACAAGTCTTTTAAAAGGGCCAATTCTTATGTCATTTGAAGCAACTTTTTCCTCAGCGAAAATATTCTCCGCGGCTTTGTTAACGAGTTATTAACGAAAAACACGGACCAATCAAAATGCGACATCTCAACACAGTATTGGCTGCGACAGCAGGACATCAGTTGTACTCGCTCTCTGATTGGTCTGAATTTTTCCCGAATAACTCGTCAACAAAAAGAAAACAGTTAGGTAAAGAAAGACGTTACTTCAAATTACCTCAAGAATTATCTTTTCCCAGGGCTTGAAACGTTATTGGGACACTCTGTAAACAGTTTTGTTGCATACAACGATTTTTGGGATATTACAAATAAGTTTTATCATATATTTAGGTATTTTCGAAATTTTCGAATAATATTTAAAATGCTTATTTTGCTAGCAAATTCTGCAAGTATTGAATATTTGTGGAGATTTTGTGCAAGTATTTTATTGAGATTCAACTGAAATATTTACAAAGATGTGCACACAGTTATGAAAAAATTAATTTAACATTATTTAATTTAAAAAGTAATCTACTTTTTACATTTAAAAGATATAATTATATTGATCGTTAATTTAAACAACAATTGTACATATGATGATACTCTCAAATAGTATCTATCTACACACATATGTAGATAATTATACGTTA